GGCGGGGCTGGTGGTGTTCCAACAGTCTATCAGAGATAAGCGGTGTCCTGCACAGGCTTTTCCATCCCCTCACAGGGCTTTTTGTGTCTGCTGGCTGCTTACACACGAGCCTGCGTGGATTATTTTGTCAGATGATGCCCCCCCTCCACCAGCCTCAGCAACTCCATCGCTGGTTTCCATGGTAACAAAAAGGGGTAGAAAGATGGCTGAGAGCAAGCGAGCTGGTTGCCGTTAATCCCGTGTAAAGTGTGAGACGTTGGATCTCATTGCTACAGAGGGGCTGCTCTGTACTTCAGTCACTACGCTGTGACGGGGTGCTGTTGACTCAGGTGATGACCTAGTAGGTTACACACAGAGGACATTTAACTTAACATTAAAATATTATAAGCATTACACCCACCAGGCAGGGAAGCAAGGCAAACTGGACATTCTAATGGGGATGATTTTCAAGGGCCAGCATTCAGTAAATGCTGTGAACAGATTGACGAAAACACAGGTGAGAAAAATATCACCAACAATGAAATCCATTCTAAGAAGTATTAGCGTAAGAGTAGTAACCCTCCTAACACTGATGATTAAACTGCCTGTTCTCAGAGGGCACAGGCACCATTGTGTTATTAAGATGTGTACATTATTTCTTCCATGAACTAGAGATAAGTATCAGCTTGTTCCATTTGTGAACGCTCCAGTAGAGAGGATGCTCACTAACATGGAGGTAAAATTAATGTCCTAATTTTACTGAAAGTTCTTCGCATTGTATGACAATATAAGTGAGGTAGGTAGTAAGTGTTGTCTTTTCCCCAATTATTTAGTCAACTAAATCATTAGATCAGGAATTCATTCTGAAGAAACTATAGCTGAAACAAAGCAAAAATTATTGAGATACATTTGTTCCAGATCTTCAAATATGAATATGTGGACAGGAGAGAGAACAGTTGTGGGAAAATGAAACACCACAGCCCTCATCACGGCCCTGTTTTGCATGATAGTCCTCACACAACTAGCAAGAGTAACAGTCAAATTCCACCTCTTCATTTGAATAAAGAAATGATAAGAAAGCGGCCAAATCTTTTTCAGAAAGCTCCACTAAGTCAAGCAAAACAACTCACTACTTATACAATCGCAAATAACATGAAATGTCATGCCTCTGCACAATGTTTCAGTTACTCTGCACGGTGGAGAGAAGCTTCCTCGTGGCTCAAACGTCTGTGGTGGAGACTGATTGCACGGCTGGATCGAGATAAACGCACTGATTTCACTGAGGAAAAATAACACATCAGAGGCAGGAAGAGCTCAGCTGTTGTGCAACGTTGTCATAGCTTCTGGCCTTATTTCCTTGACTCAACCTCGAGTCAGTCCACTCACCATTTTGATGGGCACACAGGCCAGGTCCTCATCTGTGACCGGTGTGTCGTCACTTTCCACAACGTAGATGCCCTTCCTGGACAGAGACTGGATGACCGAGAGGTGTGACTGCAGAGACGCCGCCTGCTCCGTCTTGAGGATGAGCGCACAGACGCGGCAGTAGAGCTCGCAGGACAACAACAGGCGGATGACGGGCGGCTTGATGTGCTCCTGCTCGTACTGGTCCGTGTAGAACGGGTCCCTTAAGTCCTCTGGAATGTGGTCTGCAATGGAGACGGTCAGGTGAACCATGAGGCATTTAACAATATAATAAGATACTGATGCAGGAATATAAAAAAGGTGTTTGGAGAACATCTCTGCCTCGGCCTACACACAGCAAACGTCTACCGTGTCAACAGGCTACAGGAATGAAACAACTTCCTACGTAATATTTGTTCTTTGCTGGCTTCAGTTTACCTGGAGCAAACAGGACCATTTGGGTTTTTAAGTCACAGCCTTTTACTTCAGGAGAACATTGGGAAACGGATCCTTGCTAAGCAGGCCTCTTAGGTGACACGGTGGGCTGTGCCAGCACTAACTTAACAAAAAACAATGAGCTACACTACAGAGTCTGTTGCTTTGGATGTGAAGTCACTCTCAAAAACCAGAAATCCCAACCATATAAGGGCGAGGGACGGAGGCACGCACAAACCAAAGTTATATTGCATCGTAAACCACACTGAGGCTTAAAATAGGTCGGAAATTATGCAAAAAAACGGTGCGGTGATAGAAAGAACCCTGTTCTGTTAAATCTGTTTTTCTGCGATTTAACTCCAGCGTAAGCCGTGTGTGTGTGTGTGATGTGTTCTTAGTGCCGGCTCTGAATGGGGAGATAAAGGGAGCCACTCGTCAGCGAATCTCCCGCTCAGGAAAACAGGAAGGCAGGCCGGCAGCTCCTTCCAGCTGGTTTTGTAGATGATAATACATAAAGCACAGATGTTGAACGGCACAAGTGAGGATGTATAAAATATGTAGGCAAAGAATATTACACTATAAAACATGATCGAGCTTGTTAACCAGAGATATGCTCATAAAAATAAGTCATCCAGCATGACAAAAGCATTAACACGGCTAAAACAAAGAAATCTTAGTTGCCTACCACCAAAATGACTGATTAGTCGACCAATCAACTAAAAGGGGACCGACAATGTTTTACTCAGAACTAGTGTTGGATAAGACCACGTTGAACACCACAGGAAGGTTTCCTAATTTCTAACACATTCAGTCTTTCCCAAAAACAGAAATGTTGCTCTTCAGACAGACATTGTTTTTGTTTCTGCCTGTGATCGTCGCACGGTGCATCAGAGACTTGTCACCTGCTGATTCAGCTTAGAGTAGGGATGTCCTGATCCTTTCTGTTTGGAACAGTAACTCTGAGCCTTTGGTTTGATCAAATCCCTTTATCAATGCAACTATGAACATTTGTTGTGATGTAAGAAAGAGATTGCATGAAAAAAGTAGAAACAGAAATGGCGATTTTTAAAACAATTGGGCATGCAGCCTTTATGTCAGCAGCCGCTAATGCTCAGATCACATGACCGTCTGCCACCGTACACATGGTGCAAATAAGGATGTCATTATACAACAGCATAAATCTATTATGAACACACTCAGCAGCAGTGTGGGTCGTTACTGGAGAGCCACGTCTGAGTAAACACATCTAAACAGTGGCAATGATTGTGTATGAAAACAAAGGGGTCTGGCTGGGGCGAGACTTCACGTTTGACTTCATTCCTCAGATACTGATGTCGTGGGGCAGCTACCCCCCCCCAAAAAAAAACCCTCCTGCCACCAGGAGCCAGGCTGAAACATTACTCACTGGGATTGGGTGGAGCATTGAGGATGGGGTTTGGCAGCAACACCCAGGATGTACTACAGTAAAGTCAGCCGACCGTGATCAGCACAAGCAGGGGAGAGCAGGGTAAAGACATGTGCTGTCTCTCTGTGTCTGTCTGTCTGTCTGTCGCACCATAGGGTGGAAAACAAATGGGCCTAGTGTATTCAGTTCCCAGGGGAGGAAGATAATTGCGGCTGCACCTGAGAGTTGCCTCCCTCTGGGCTGCCAAAGCTTTGGAGCCAACGTATGCTTTCTGTTCTGACTGAACAGCATCTCCGCCCAGGCTTATTTGCGATGCATCGCTAATATGCTTACTTTTGCTTGCCAGGGCCAATGATGACAGACCAAGAACCGGGCAAGCCATTGCCTACAAGCATTGTTATGAAGTCTGAGAAAATATGAGTCTATAAATTACCTTAGAGCAAACTGCTAGGCTAAAAGAAGAAAACTAATTGGGCAAAAGAAACCGTAGCATTCCACCCATAACCTGGATTACCATTAAAACTCCAATCTGACTGACAGTTTAATATGAATGCTTCAGCGGCTTTAGGAAATCTGGGCAATGACCACAGATATACAAGAGACAGTGGAATACAAAACACAGCTTGTATGAGCCTCGGAAATAATGACCAGAGACTACGCTGATGCAACAGACATGCAAAGCAGCAAATAATGGGCCTTGTGCCTGAGTTAGCTGAGGCTTACACGTTAGCTTAACGTCTATGATGAGGAGGAGACACAGTGAAACAAACCTAAAGGTAAACAGCAGCCTTGCAGTCAAACAATAGCTCCAGTCTGTGATGTTACTGCAGCAACCTTTGCAGACAGAAGCTTAAACACCTGACAAACAGTCAGGATGTACCACAGATTTACTTTCTCATGGTTAATATATAGGTATGCACAAAGAAACAATGGACTGTACAGCCTATAATAATTCATAGTGTATCTAATCTGAAAACAGGCCAACACTTTAATGGCTGGAGATATGAAGGGCGTAAGCCAACAGCACCACATTAGACTTTAAAATTTAGACTTTCACGCATTTCAAATAACATACACCAACATCAGTATTGTTGACTCTTTGTAGGACACAGATTTATATTCTTATGAATCCATGATTTCTGATTGTGCTTGTGCATGTAATTCATTCCATGTCATTTATTGTCTTGTATCTGGGCCCCGAGTATGTAATAAAGTTTTGATTTGAATGGATTTTAACCTTAATGCATTTGACCAGCTACTCCCAGTAAAATAAATTGGACTTATGATATCAACTACTCAACAGAAGATAAGCTGCGATAGTGCTGCGTTCTTTTGAGGTTGATCTTAAGGTTCTTAAGGTTGTCTTAAAATCCAAACAACTCATCCGTGTCCTGAAAATGTATTCAGCTCTTGACCGTTGCAAGCAAATCTGTCCTAAATGCTCAGTTACTAATGCTGATGCCATCGTGTGAGTGACCGGCAGTGCAGATCAGTATTTTCCATGCTCTGAGTGTCCATGACTAACAAATATAGCCTGATCCTCAGTGCCTGTCACTCAGCCTGATTTGGGTTCAATCTCACTGGCCAACCGACAAGAATGAAAGGATCTGGTGAGTCAGTGTGGGGGGGGGGGCTTCAGTTGCCGAGTGTCATGGAGGGTATTACTGTTGGCTCAAGTGCACGCACACAGAAATATTTATCTTTCTCTTCCTGTCAATGTTTCCCCACTGACGCTTTAAAACAATCTGCTGATGGCAGTACGTGGATAAGAGTGAACACATTGTTTCAACAATAACGTCTGAAATAACTATGAGAACACGAGGAAGACATTGTGCGGATAGCGCAATCTCTTGTTGTTAAATCTGTAATGGCAGATATATAGATATTAAGTCATACAGTGTAGCCAAATGTAAATGTAAAAAAGAAAACTTAGTTAGCATTTGTGTAGCGTGAAAGCCAATTTAATTACTTACCAATGCCATAGGCTTTGGCAAACAGCCAGCGCAGGTTGGCAGCTATTTTTGCTCTGGCCGAGTCGTACATCTCCAGCGGTATGACGTCCATTGCGCCTTCTGCAACCCCAGACAAGTCCACCTTTCTCCTGGTACTGCCCCCACCGGCACACAAATCAACATCCATCCTTAAAAACAAAGACAAATATGATGTTACCGTCACAATTATACTGAACATACGGCTGAGTAACAGACAAATAACAGGATATCAGCCATCCACAATATACTGAATTACAATCTCACTGGTTAGTGTTAGATGCTCTATTAGAGTGATTCTTCAATGAGTCAAATACATAAAATCCTCATCTGGTGTTTGCTGATTATAAAGGAAAGTGCTGTTGTGGGTGCCGCTGTTAATCCTCCCTATAGCAGTCAATTAGGCTTATATCTGGTAGCTGAGACATAACCACCAAAGTAGCATCCTCCTCTCTGGCGCAATCACATTCATTATGTCGAATGCTTGATGACAGAGAGCAGACCATGTCTTTGCAGTTAAATGAACCTCGGCCTACAGTGACTGAAAACAGTGCTGAACATGAACAATGAAACTCTCTGATTGTTATTTACTATACACTGTGGCAAGCACACGTGTACTGTATGTACTAGACCACAACTGCAAAATAAAAAAGGTAGAAGTCTGTATCTTTTTCCTTCACCCAATAAATTATCACATTGGTTGCTTGAACCAAAAACACTTGCTGAGACAGCACATTTTGGGCCAGTAAGAACCTGAGCAACTTAACAGATAGTTGATAAAGCCTCAAAACTACAGCCTCACATCCTGCAACAAAACAAAACTCACAACAACACAAGATTCTATTTACTGACTCACTGACTTGTGCTTTGTCTCTGATAACTATCTTGCTTAATTTGGGTCATATTTTTGTTTTGTTTTCAGTGAGTTCTCCTTTAAAGCACCCAACTTTGTACTCTGCTGCCACACAGTATTATTACCATTATACAGCGTCTGCAGTAAGTCTAGCAGACTTGTGTGTTTTATAATCAGTGCTGAAGCTAAATGAAACTCAGAGCACTTTCACTTTCAACTGTAGATTCTCTTCGCACTAAAACCACATTAGTGGCCACTGAAACACGCTTAACGTTACAAAAACACTACTAATATGTCCAACAACATTAATTATGATGGTGATTCTGAGGAAAAACAAGTGCATCCACCTGCTCACGAATACATCCTACTAAAGCTCCTTTACATCTCCAGCCAATCTCAGTTATCCTCAGTAAAGTGAATGTTATATGTTATTATTATTATTATTATTATTATTATTATTACCTGTAGCGTGCTAACTCCACGTGATGTCACCTCCCCACCTTTAACGGCCCAATGCTGGCTTGATGAAATAAGCTAATAGGTGACTGCTAATTAACTACATTAGCTGCATCTATAACATTAGTATACTTGTGTTACAGTGATCTCATTAACGAGGGGAAGAACCGTTAGGTGACAAAGTACACATTTGGTTAAAGTCAGGTTAGCTAAACGGGCCATACATGCAAATGTAAAGAAGCTAGCCGTTAGCTCGCGAGTGTCTCCTGTGACGTTAATACAGGAGCAGCATGACGTTAGCTAGCTGGGAAGACATTACCTTGAAAGGTGTGGTATCTTCCAAGGCACCCTTCAGTTTAAACACTTATCCAAGGATCCGCCTCGCTTCACAGTGGCCTGCTGTGTAGACAATACACCAGCAGCAGCGGCGCATCGTAGCCGGCTAATAAAAGCTAGAAGGGAGGCGAGGAGTCTGGGTGGTCTCCTCCCAGAAACAGGACCCGATTCGCGGCCTGTGTGTGACTACCTCTCCGCGGCAGGCTTTCAGCTCAAACAGCCGCCAGGTTTAGAGAAAAGGGAGAGGGCTCTCCCGGGAAGAAACACGACGTACAGAGAGGCTGTTCCGATTCAAAAAACTATCTCTGTATTAGACGCCTCATTTTAGTTAACAGAATAACAAAAACACACATATAATTGGCTCTGGCTTTGCAGCGAGAACCGGTGGATGTGTTCGCGCTCTGCCCATAGAAATGTAATTACCAGCCCAGGCGTTCGTAAAAGCAGCAAATGCGCATGCGTGATTACCTTCCAGAGCACTGGTAATAACCAAGTGTCAATAATAAACTAACAGTAGGCCAACTCACTCTCCTAATTATATTTCATTCGTTGTTTTGAAGCTAGATTCTTTCAAAGCAATGACTTAGCTCAGTTTATGTTATATTCTAAATCTAACCACTAGACTCTGGCTAAGGTATTTGTTTGACAAGTTGACTAAAACCCACTAGCATTACTCAGTAGTTCCTTCCTTTATTATGTCTTTATTTCAGTATGAATATATCACAATATAATATGTCCACGTTTGTGTTGTTGTAGTCCTGTGTTGTCGTTGTGACATTGACGAATGACGCCATCTAGTGGTGGAATGTGGTATTACAATTTGAAGCATTTCAGTGGTTTTGTAAAGCAGTGCCAACACTAATTTGTATGCTGTCAAAAAATAATTGTTTGCATATTAAATACAAATGAAATGAGTGATGGTGTGTTATTGAAATGATTGCATTAACTGTCACTTCCCTTCAGTGACGTAAGAAGTAAGACCATTGGCACACTTTTACACACACATTAAAATAGTAATAATTTCAAACAATGCAGCTCATACTTCTGTTTGAAATTGCTGGCATTTCATTCATATGTATCCTTCTTCGTCTTCACAAGAGCACACTCGAGATTAATCTAAAAAGTTTCTTTTCACTTAACGTCTAAGGAGTAAATCAGCTTTGTTCATGCTCACCATACTGTATGTATGTACACACATTGTTCAAGAGTGAACACAGTACACTTCTGTTATCTTAATCAAAAGGCCCAAAGACAACAAACTAATAATTGTTTTATGTTTCACATACAGATGAATCGGAGAGATCTGAGAAATCAGCTGGTCATAGAGGACAGAGGAGCCACAGCTGCTCTTGAAGAGCTACAGCTCAACACAAAGCAGCCCTGAAGCAAGAGCGAACAGAAAGAGAGGCTTTTGCAAAGGCCCTGTGGAAGGAGCAAGCTGGGAAAAAACAGCCTTCCTGTTGCAAGCACTTGAAGGGACAAGTGGCTGATCTCAAGAAGTCAAAGAAAGAGCAGCAGCGAAGCAAAGCTGAAAGGCACAATCACCGAGGTGACCGCAGAGCTCCAAGAGGACAGGAAGTTGATTGAGTGATCTCCAGAGGGATCTTGAGGCGTCCTCTTGTCAGGACAAAAAAGAGCATGATGTGGGGAATTGTGCTGAAATGAAGGAACTAAAGGACCGCCTCATTGATCAGCAGGAGAAAAGTCTGGAAAAAGAGGATTAAATCCGTTCCCAGCGCATCAATCTCCAGAACCTTCATTGAAGCCAAGGACAACATTGTCTCCTCACTGCAGGAGAAAGTGGACCAGTGAGCCTCAGACCTCAAAGAGGAATAAACTAAAAAACGGATCACTCTGGAGGGACTATGAGGCCGCTGTCTCCCAGCAGCTGAAGGAAGCAGAAGAACTGGACCATCTGACTCATGAGAACCAACAACTCGCTTCTGAGAGCAAAAGGCTGCAAAGTGAACTTGAAGCTGCTCTAAATGAGAGGAAGCTTGATTATAGGCAGCTTCAGGGCGACCGAGGAGCTTGCAGCAGACTCGAGGAGGCCATCGAGAAGCAGCAGGCTTGGTCCTCGAGAGCTTGTAAAAAAAGATCCAGATCCAAGAGATCTCTGAAAAGACTCTGGCTTTGGAAAAGAGTCGGATCGCTGACGAATTCTTAGGGTATTCCCTTAAATATGAGAAGAAGTGCTTTGATCAGATGATTTTAGAAAAGCAGGCTGCAGTCGATCCTCTAGCAATCCTCAGAAGAGACTTATACCATCACTAAGCTCCGGTGCATGGTAGATGGGCTCAAAGAACAGCAGTCAGAGAGCAAGACAAGATGCCCTAAAACAGAACAAGACAACAATCTCAGAGTTGCAGCAGAGAGTTGATCAGTTCAACCTTTTGTGAGAAGAAAGTGTCAAGCTCAAGGAAGCTTTAAACCCAGCAGATGGCAACACTGGAGGAGAAGCAGAAGTCGTCCGTGGCGCTCAGGCTCAACCAGCAAGAAAGTGGCCTGGATGAGAGCACAAAAGCTCCTCACCACCTTCAGCAGGAACACACAGATCTGGCGAGGAACTCGCTGCTTTAAACTCACAGCACCCTCCACATCAGCTACACACAAATGAAACCCCCCACCAGCCTTCAGACCGCCGCAGTCCACATTCAAACTCATTTTTCTGTACATTTATTTATGACATTTACTATTTCCTGTCTGTCCATCCTGGAAGAAGGATCCCCTCCTCTGTTGCTGAGGTTTCTCCCATTCTTTCTCCATTCAAGGGGATTTTGGTGGTTTTCTTCATCAGAGTCGAGGGTCTATAAGGACAGAGGGTGTCGAATGCTGTATATAATGTAAGTTTGTGATTTATTATATTGGCTCTGTAAGAAAATAGTCGACAGAGACCAAATTATCTTTTGCAACATGAGCCGCAACTCCAAGACAATTTAACCTCAACCTGATAAGAGGACACCATGCTTAGAAAGTTATATTTTGGAAGTACAAACCGCATTAGAGTGAACAATCTTCAAGACATGGTTGAAATAAAACTAAATCGAGTCATCACCTGACAGCACTTGATCTTTTCAGGCGGTTGTATGGACTTTCATATTTACTGAGCATGACTCTCCTGAAGGCTGATGAAACTATATAAAAATGCAAACCTGCATCCCAGTGACACAATTTACAACTGTGCTTCTCTGACTGTGACATGTCAAAATGTCTTCTGTAAGCCTTCGTGGGTTCCAAAACATCCTCCTCACTCATTAGTACACCCGGCACAACACATTCTCCATCCGCCTGACATTCAGAGAGGGACAAGTCAACTATTTACCGAACAGGTGCCAAGTGATCAGTCCAGTCGATCATCCGCTCACTTCTAAACATGGCTGAGTTTTCTTGCCATTCGCTTAAAGAAAAAAAAAAAAAAAAACAATCCAAAAAATACAGCCACAAAAAATACCTTTAATGCAATAGTGATTTAAATGCCAGTAGCCGTGAGGCTGTCTGAATGAACAGACGGTGAGAGTATATTGCATAGGTTGTTAATCGGGGACAGTCCTGTATGAAAGCTGAGTGAAAACCAAACCCTGTGACACAAACCATCCCTGTGTCCCTCAGCAATACAGTTCATCGTGTTCTTCTCCGTTCACAAAGGTGTCTGCATTTCCGGTATTTCTTCTTCTGTAAAACGGACATTCTCCCAAATGTTTGTTTGGAGATACTACGGGAGAGCCGTATATATGCATACTGATGCAAAGCATGGAGGTGGTGAGACAGCTGTGGTCACTGTGGCCGTGATGGAGGTCCACCGCAGTGCAGAACGTGTGCAGAGAGGCTTCCGGAGACGAGTGAACAAATCCTTTCATTCTAGCGTGTTGCACTACTTTCAAACACACCGAGACCCTAAAAGTCCAGAAGCACATTTTACAATGGTTTGTAAAAACAACATTTGAATCATTTAATCCTTTTTTTTTTTTCACATTTTGTAGATTAGCTCCGAGGTTTGCTAAAAATGTTTATAAATAAGAACAAGTTACTAGTTTGGCTTCGATATAAATAATGTAATAATACATAGTTCAAACAGACACCTCTCTAAAAACATTTAAATATTTTTCAAATATTGCAATTACGAAACCATGTCCTGTAGTGCTCTTATTCATGAAGTTCTAGACAGATTAGTTAAAGCCATTTTCAAATGCCAAACTAGAAGAGGGTGAGCAGAGGTTTTGCCCCGACGACAGCTTTAGAAAAACAATCTCAGCCTCCCTGAGCAGAAAGTCACGTCAATACCACATTTTAAATATTGAATAAAAACACTCAAAAAGCTTGGCCAAACACACACCACCCTCCACATTGTTTCTAACCGTCGGTCCAACCAGGTGCAGCTGAACCCGCCTTCTTGTAGCTGGAGATTTGAAGTACTCGATGCAAAGGCTAATATTGTAGAACACGCTACCCATTGCAGTTCACACATCTGTAACACGCAAAACAAACAGATTTCCTTACAGGTCGGCTGAAGTCCTCGCTATTGCACAGAAATACAGGGGGGGGGTTTTCAATGGGTAAAAACGAATGACAAGGCAGATTATATAGTGACATTTTGGTTTGGTTTGACAGCATAAATGTTCACTGCTCTCAAAAGACAAAAAAGAAGAAGTAAACCAAAAGACACTGGTTGTGTCTCAAATTCTGTTTTTTCCTTGTGTGCATGAAGATGCTCGCACCTTCGCAGCAAGAAGCGAGCGCGCATCTTCATCTTTCAAATTCAAAAGGTTAAAAAAGGCAAACCCCTTCTGATTCGGCTCAGCTTCATTTACCGTCCCGCTACAGCCATTTGAGACGTGAACCCTTCTCTTAACTTCGGATGTGCTGCAGTGAGTGATATTCGTAGAGGTGAACAAGTGCTAGATGAGCGCGACATTAAAATATGACATTCAAGAGCACATTGACAATAAACACACAGGCCTAATATATCGTTTTTCTTGTAAAAACATGACTAAGACACAAACAGTTTAGTGTACAGCTTTCGTCTTAAAAAAAAAAAAAAAAAAAAAAGGCAAGAAAGTCAAATAAATACTCTTGAAGAAGCTCAAGGACAAATATTGGCTTTGAAGTGAGAGGCGGCCAGCTGACGGTGACCTTGTGGGCGCGAGTGGAGAGAGAGTTCACGTGTCCGAAAACCCGTTTTCAACGAGCTGAACAAACGCTCGACTTTGACCTTCGGCCTCTCAATTACAAGCCGTTACTTTGATTTAAAAATAAAAAATAATAAAGACAAAGGGGGAGAAGAAACAGAATGCGAAGCTGACAGAAGTTTTCCACACGTTCACCACAGATGAAATGTAACAATTTAAAGAGACAGACAAAACTGTAATTGATATTTAAATATTGCAAAACATACAAAAACAGCTCTCTTTGAAGTGTAAACATTAAATTGATGTCTGATGTCATTTCTGCACATGGAGAAATTATATAAAATAAATCATGTCTGTCACGACTATAAACTGTCCTCGTTAAAATGTAAAAACAACATACTAAATCTCTTTTTTTAATTATTATTACTGTAATAATGTTTATGTCAACATTTGTTTTGTATAAGTGTTTTTACTGTACTGTTATAAATAGTTATATGTGTAACATCTTAATTCATACTCCTCCAGCATTGTCTTTACAAGGCAAAAACAATACTTGTGTCTCTGCCACACTCAGATACACACGCATCCACACACACACACACACATACACACACACACGCGCACACACACACACACAAGCTGCCTGTCACACAGGGGGTCACCAGGAAGCTCTATGTTCGATTGAGGGTCTGGAAGATTCTGGATATTTGGAGCATGACCGGGCCTGTCTCGGGGTCGTTCATCCACTGGGTGCTGTTCAGAGGATTCTCCAGCATGTCTTCAAACGCTGCGTACAAACACAATAGACACCGGTCACAAACACACTGAACAAAACCAGCTGCTATTCAAAAGTCTTTAGGCCAAAACCGGACCGAGACCACTTGAAAAGGGGGGCCGTTTGTGGCATGAAGGCAAAGTCGACCCACCACAATATTTTGTGATAATAAAGTGTTAACATGAGTTAAAAAGCTGAACTACAATCAAGAAAGCAATCTTCCAACCTTCATTTTTTTGTCCTGTGTCTATCAGCTCGTCACTATGATATGAAAGGTTCAGCTACAGTCTGGACTCATAACGCTCACGATCAGTTACTTCTCTGTGTTTACTCCTCTGTTTGTAAAAAGCTAATGTGAACAGGAGCCAGACCAGAATTAAAATGCAACAATGTAGAATGATTTTTTCTCGGTCCAGACTAAATGAACTGTACTGCAGAAAGCGTCCTCATTCTGTAAAGCTCATTGCATTTACTAAATTACTTTCTTTTTTTGGCCGACTCAGCCTTCCTCAGCTCGGTCTGGTTCAGCTGTGCTGGAGTTTTAAAACACTACCACACAACAAAATAGGCAAAGATGTTCGGGATAGTTTTTGATATGCTTGTCCACTAAATGTGACTTGACTCTACCTAGCAGGGTCTTGGGATTGGTTAGACCCAACTGGACCACTGGATTCTCCAGAATGGCTTGGAACAGCGGGCTGTTGGTGTCGATGCCTTTGTCCAGATCTTCTGGGGAAGGTTTCCTGTCTCCCAGCAGCCACTCACACTGCAGGACGGAGAGAAAAATAAACAACATAAAAAGAATATAATTATAAATATTCCTTTAAAAAAAAAAAAGAGCCATTTCTCAAATCTGCATGCAAACCCTGTTATGGATGTGTGAACGTACCGCAGCATCCTGTTGGTTGTTATTCACCCTCAGAGCATCGACCACTTCCTTCTCATCGAACCCCATCTCCATCAACGCAATGACAGCCTGCAGAGACAAGGAAGAAGGCTGAATGTCTAGTTTAAAGAAACGTTCAGTCCCATAAAGTCTACATACACAGTCACAGTTCTACTGAGTGTGGCAGGCGTCATGGGGAAATACACAATGTGTGCTCAGTGGAAAAAGAAGAAGAAGAAGCTGGTACTTTAATCACGTTTCTATTTTTGGAGATACTGCGGAGCACTGTTCCTGTGGAATACGGAGGTACATTAAGCTCTAAAATTAGGGAAACGAGAAGATTATGAACACAATCAGCGTGATCTACAAATCCTATGACTAAAGCCACTAACACTTTCTGTCCATGAGTTCACATTTCAATATTCTCGGTATCTAATAGGCTTTATTCCTCAAGTCCAGTCCTACTACTTTCTGTCTATGTATACTATTGTATGTTAGATGGTGCAGTCAAGTAGCATCTTCCAACAAAATACAGAGCGATGGAAAGCTCAGGGGTGAGTTATACAACAGTAAGTAAGAGTCAAAGAAGGCTAAGGCCACCCACTCTTGAGTCCGGTCTGAACTCCCGTTTCCTGCGGATCCTCTTGAAGATCTCTGTGAGCTCGTCCTGCCGGATGCTCGCTTCTGTGCTCGACTGGCTGGAGAGGCTGCGGAGAAGGTTCGGACCGGAGGCTGGCGCCGAGGGGCCCGGTGTGGCGGCAGCCGTGGCCCCTGCTGCCCCGGACGAGTCCTGGCCAGGTATGGGTGCGTCTACAGTGGGGTCGTCTACGTGCTCGATAAGCCACTCCATCGCCTGTGTGACGGACATGCTGCAGAAAGAGAGGACAAGATGAGGGGAAAGAAAGGGTTTCTTTTCTAGAGAAACACCGTCAACATATTCCAAATAGTTTGGCCCGTCATCAGTTGTGAGTGACTTGTTATCTAACAAAGACTTACTGGTTCAATCTGAGAGCTTTGATGGCTCTGCTCTCAGGGAAACCCATCTCAGTGAGCTGCTGAAGGGCTGTTTCATCCACCCGGTCCTCTTCATCCTCATCCAACATCGCTGCAACACAAAGACACCAGAGAAGTGTCACTAAGGGTTGAGCAATGCGTGTGTGAAATGTCTCCAACAATCAACAGCAAGGATTTCCAGCAACAAAACATATCGAAATATGGCCGATAAGCAAAAGAAAGACTTTAAATGCGGGTCGCTATATTGAGTTTGATCGCAAAAACTAAAAGAGCACACGAAGACAGAACATTTAATACCTCCTTTTGTCAGAGTTTTTAAATAAAACGTATGTAATACGTATTGTAATACACTCTCAATAACAATGTGTGCCGAGGTTGGCCCATTAAGCAGATCATAAGAGGTCTAGGGCATTAATGGATAGATGTATTGGAGAATTTTCGCCCTGTTTAACAGAAAGAAAAAGTCTTCTCCCCATCCTCATTTTCCTGACGTGTAAATAGATTTAATGGATTGTAAGTTCTACCATTGGCCTTTTTGAAAAGTTCCACAGCATCAGGGTTCAAGGCTAGAAGCTTCTGGGCGACTTCAATGAGAGAAACCAGGATCTTTCTGAGCTCCGTCTGAAACTGGAACAACACAAGCGCAACAAAAATCAATAACTTCTTTGCAACGGTCTAAACTAAGATCCATTCCACCAAGAAGCTTACATCTCGGATGTTGTGCTGGGTCACAGTGCGGTCAGTGTGGCGTGTGGACAGGTTGCCGGTGGCTTTTAGAATTGCATCTTTGTCTGGAGCCTTGTTGTCTTGTTTCTTCTGTGACAACCAGGAGAAACAACAAAGAGACATAATTAACAGCAGGTAAAATAAAGACACCACATCTCTGGTGCAGAATTTACAAATGAAAGCCGATTCAGCTCACCTTTTCATCTGAACTAACGTCTGCCATCTTTGGAGGGGTCGGCGGCGGTCTTTTCTTTATGAGCAGCAAAACTTCTACGAGACATATGAAACACGGTCAGGTGGTGGGAAACAGGGGAGGGTTGTGTGCTTCCCAAATCTCGTCAAATAGGCCTGAAACATACCTTTATCTTTGAGATTCTCATCAGCGACAGTTTTGGTGTCTGTGAGGACTCGTTCTGTAGCAGCGTGTATGAGTTTATGGTGGGTAAGTGTTTTGGGGTCTTCTAGACTCCCGTGTACATACTGTAAACCAAGCACAATACAAAGCGAATAAACAGAAGGGATTACACTGTTGACTCTCTACATTACTGCATCATCTGCCAGATATATTTCTTTGTCAAATATTCATAAAATCTAGAAAATGGTAGAAAAAGGTGACATCTTGAAATTGTTGTTGTTGTTTTTTTTACCAACAGTGCAAAACATGCAAGTATTTAATTTACAATACACAAAGCTGACAAGCAGCAAATTCTCCCATTAAAGAAGTATGTTATGGTCTGGAATTAGCTTAATAATTACTTTAAATGATTAACCGATAATCCAAATCCTTGTCAGTTCCTATTAATCAGATATAGTTGAAACAACAACAAGCTGATAAATCAGTTGGCATAATATTAATCCGCAATTATTCTGATTATCGATTAATCGCTTAAGTCAAATATCAAGCGATAATGATTCTACACTGTGTTTTCTGCATTTCTCCACTCATCATATCATTGTAAATTAAATATCCTTTAGTCAGACAAAACAAATCATTTGAAAACCTAAACTGGGACTCTAAAAAATTGAGAATTGTTCTAATAATTTTCAGATGTTTATAGACTAAACTATTAATTTAAAAAAGGCAATTAATCAATTAGTTGTTTCAGAACTGAATCTGACAACAAATTTCAACTTGCATCATGATGTCTGTGGCTGTGTGTTGATGTTACACAATTGAAAACAATGTAAACATGTACGTTCCCCATGTTGTCACGAGAAACAAACAGCAGACTACCACTGGAAGTTATGCTATAGGCCGTAGAAGGAGAAGTGAGAAGAGATGAGTGTAATAATAGACAGCCTGTAAAGCAACATGCCACTCAGGCGAGCCACTGGGAACAGACAAGGGGTATAGCTGTTAGCATAGCTAGCTAGTTTGAGATGGGCAGCCAACCTGCTAAATTATAAATAGCAAGGTCTACCCAGTTACTATAAATACAAAGCCAGTGACACTGACACTGACAGTGTACACAGAGGGTAGGGCACACTGCAACCACCCCAGGCAGAGGAGTGACAGGACAAAAAAAAGCAAACTAGGGAAGACACAAACAACCCCAAAAACCTACATGTTTCAAGCACTTCTCCTTCAGTTTCTCAACAGTGGTGTCTTCAGTGACCTCCTCTAACCACTCCGTGCCGTCCATGGTGCAGATGTGTATTTTCAACACTTTCCCGGCGAATATCTTCTCCTCCTGGACGAACATAGCGGCAGCCTTTGGGAGTAAAGAGTACCAGTCCAGTGACGTTAGCTAGCAGCAGTTGCTATGTGCTCCTGGCAGAGCTAGCGTGCTAGCGTTAGCACCCAGCTAGCCGTCGTTTTTGTAAATCCAACCGACAACAGAGCAACACAAGGCGCAGGTTAGCTGAGGGCCATCTTCAGTCTCCTCTACCGGGTTTCGCTGCGGTGGCAACCAATTAGAGTGTTCAGTGACCGCCAAGGTGTTTATTATGCCCAGCGCAACACACAAGCCGCCAGCCAGCAAGTACCCTATTTTTACTGTAAGGTTTGAACTTTGAACTTCAACGGTGCCACTAGCGGTGCATCATGGGAGCAGTAGTTCCTTTCGGAGTTACAGGCTATTCCATTGATATAAATCACCCTGGTGAACTCACGCCAACTTTTAACAACAATGCTAACAACAGCATTCATATATACAGTAACTATATATATATATATATACATATATACTTTTTGAATATATATTTATATTGTACATAGTCGTTAAATGTTTATGCTTACATCGTTCCTGTTTATTGTATATTCTGTGTATGCACGTAGAGAGCAACGAAAAACCGGAGTCAAATTCCTTGTACGCTAGCCACAGTATAAACATGAGCCAATAAAGCTGATTCTGATTCTAAGGTGTTCCCTTAACCTGTGATCAGTGAGGATGGATTACCATTCTAGAAAAGCCTGCAACTGCCACAGCACCCCAGACCTCCAGGAAGCCCAGACCTCCAGGGGCCCAGACCTCCAGGAAGCCCAGACCTCCAGGGGCCCCACAAGTTCCAGGTGTCAACTGGTTTATGCTGATGTAATTGAACATTTGTTTGGTAATATTCACCACTAAAGAACAATATCAACTACCACAATAAGGACCATTATCAATTAATATGACAAGTAAATTTCCAAATTATCGATAAAGAAATGGTCTAACAAATCCTGTCACAATTTCCCTAAAACTTAAAATGACCTCTTCAAATGTGTTGTTTGGTCTGAGCAACTGAGACAATGGAACCAGAGATTTGGCTCTTCTGCAAGAAAAAAGAAGGGCTTTGTTGTGGATACTTTTTTACCTGCTTTTGAGGCCAAGAGACGGCCCCTTTTTCATAATATGATTAACACACCGTCATCATGTCAGTTTTGAGCTTACATGTTGCATAGTTTATGTGTTTAATCAGTAAATGTGGAGTCAGATAGTATTCTATCTCAGAAAAGTACAAAGCACAGAAACAGTTAGAAACTGGGGATTATTTGGGACCCAGGAAATTAATCCAGCTTCAGCAATAAGTCATGCAAAGATTGCTTTGTCTAGTTTTGATTTTTCCTTTTTCCATGATAAACACAAGCTGCAGAAACAGCCCAGCTGGACCTTTTATCTAAGTCAGTCAAATGTGATAATTATAACCAGCACTAGAGGGAGACACACTAAGGGAAATATTTGGCCCCTTCAGCAAACTTCAAAAAGATTAAATAAAGTGCTACAGTGTAGAAGCTCATGTTTATACTGTGGCTATTGTACTAGATCTATAATTATTCAGCTAACCTCTTGTTTCACAGTGTGTGTAGAAGATCTTTAGAGATCTTGAAAAGTAATTTGAAGAAAGAAAAAACAGTTCTCATAAGTTCAAGACACACAAGTGCCATTTATTATACCAAGAAACATATTTACAGAAAAGAAAATTAAAACGGGAAATACATTTCTTGCAAATTATAACTGTATAAGAGGAAGGAAACATATTGCAGACATTACAACTCACTACAACCTAATGTTTTTCTTAAATCATAACATTTTGCAAACTACAGGAAGTGTCTCACAAAGTATTAATGCGGACACAACTGAGAACTTAGCCAACATTTTTTCCATTTAACCAAAGTGTAACAAAAACATTTAATAATATGCACAAATGGTTGCCTCAGTTGATTTGTATGTGTTACAGGACAGTGAATAAATATCAATTTATAAAACCTCAATATTTATGGGTTTTTTCTGCTTTTTATGAGAAAAATGTCTCCTAATAATATATCGTATTTATTTGTATATAGTTCAAATTTATTTATGCATAAGGGACAGTAAAATATAAAATATATATTCTGTTCTGTTTGACATTTTAGAGGCTGTTGACTGGTGCGGGACCTATCAAAATTACATGCTTAAGACATCAGATTTCTTAAACAAAATCCTGCTTACAAGGGAAATTCATAACATATGTACAAAAAGAAGAACACAGCCATAGGCTCAAACTAATAGGAGGGAGAGGGGAAATGAAGTTTCCTTTTCCCTCTGGACAACAACATCCGCTGTGGCCAACGGGCCAGTTCTCAAACACCAACAGATACTCAAGCCTGTCTTAACTGCCAAGATGGCTGTTTTCTGTACAACATATCACATCTCCACCACATCTCTACATATGAATGCAGTCAAATCTAGAGGCACGACGTAATGTCCTTCCGTTGATTCAAGAAATGTACACAACTGTAGAGTGTAACTAAGAATCGCATGATATTTAAAAAAGGGGAAACTGTGAAAACAAACAGGGCCTGTGCATGAAATATAGGACACGTGTTCTGTTAACATTCACAACTTGTTTATCATCGACCGACGAGAATATAGCACACTGAAACTTAAAATGTGCTGTATAAAATGCCCCATAATCACAAGTTTTTATAAACAAGATGATACAAAAAAAACCATAACAAAATATAAACAAAGATTGAGAAATCATATGAAAAAAAAAGGCAAAGACTAAAAGTCCTTAAGGAAATAAATACCCAGTGTGTACGCTGCGGCTTCACTGCAGAAAAAGAAATGCTAAAAGAAAAGAGTCTCTCTAAAAGGACTTCCTCTGTCCTCTGTTTGACCCAACACCGTGGATCCCAGAAATTTCTGTAAGCAGGCAATGCATATAAATAAGGCATTAATAAATAAAAAGAATGGATGAAATGCAGGTGTGGTTGTTAGTATAAAAGCATATAAAAATGTCCAATTAAATCGCGTTTACAGCTTTGCCCTTTTTCTTTTCTTTTTTTCCACAAAGAGTGCCTTTTTTTTATAAAAAAATATACAGCAGCTCGTCTGGGCGTAGACATACAAGCTTTTTATTTGAACTGTTCAGGTAGATGTGCAATCTGAGCTTGCATGCTTGTCGGGGGACTTGAAATGCCCTCTGACCAGTCAGACATGTTGGAATGAGGGGATGAACTCGACCACTGATCGGGGGAGCCGGGGGAGGGGGTCAGAAAGGGGTGGTCAGGCACCTGGACCTGATGGTTTGGGGTGTTGTCCATGGGGCCTGAATAGCTGTGCTGGGAGGGTGGGGTGAGGAACTGGGTGCTGGGCATTGACTGGTTGATGGAGGAGGGCATAATCTGGGTCTCCTGCGGCAGGATGGTGTGGATGGGCATGCTGGAGTTGCCGGTGCCCTGCTGGAGCTCCGGGGAACTGAGCTCCCCGCTGATGAAGCTCTGGCTGTTGGCTGTGTTCGAGTTCTGGTGCTGCAGCTGGATGCTCTGTTGCTGCTGCTGCTGCTGCTGTTGTTGGAGCTGCTGCAGGTTCTGCATCTGCTGCATCTGTTGAGCCTGCTGCTGCATGATGTGGGGCTGCGGACCCAGCCTGGCGCTCTGGATCCCCTGGTAGGTCATCATCTGAGATAGGCCGGCGGGGTGGCCATTGTGGAGGGACGTCATCATCCCGTGCTGCCCTCCCGGGTGCAGGCCTCCCTGACCGCCGGGGGCTCCTCTCATGGGGTTGAACTGGCCTGGCTGGCTCATGGTGCCGTGCATCCTGGACAGCCAATCACACTGGCCGTTTATGGCGCCCTGGCCACCGGAGCCAGACACGGGCAGATGGGTGAGACGCGGAGGCAGCGGGTCAAACTGCATCCGAGCCAGCTCCTGCTTGTTTGGCATCACCATGTGGTTGACGGACAGGTGTGGATCGGACATACCCTGCAGGTGGTTCAGGGACACAGACGGCGACTGCTGGAAAGGTGAGGTCATCATGGGCGGCGAGGCCACATCGGAGACGTAGCCGTGTGGAGACTCCAACGAGTCAACGGGTGACAGCACACCGGAGCTGTCCAGGAGGTTCCCGGGCTTCCCGTCCTGCGAATTCTTCTTCTTCACCTTCATGTCTTTGCCGTCCTTGCAGCCGATGCCCTTGGCGCTGGGCTTGCGGGCCTTTTTGCCCTGGCCGTGAGGCTGGTGCTGCTTCATGCCGACCAGGTAGCCGTTGGGCGAGCAGAGAGGGGGCGACAAGGTGGTGCAGAGTGACCCTCCATGCATGTGAGGACTCCGTACCAGGTTGTAGTCGTCCATCAGCCGCACGATGTCGTGATGCATTCTCTCCTGTGCAATGTCTCTGGGTAGCCGGTCCATGTGGTCAGTGATTTCTCTGTTAGCAAAGTGGTCCAGTAAGACCTTGGCAGTCTCGTAGCTTCCTTCCCTGGCAGCCAAGAATAGAGGAGTTTCCTCCTGAGGCAGACAGAAAGGAGACATTGCGTTAAGAGGATCACAGACGGCCGAGGAATGTTGTTGTTTTTTTCGGAAAGATGATTCACTATTGTTTTACAGAGTTAAGAGCAGGAAGAGACAGCTTGCTTTTTTTACCTTGTTGTTTTGCATGTCCTTGTTGGCACTGTTCTTGAGAAGCACAATTACAGCCTCCACGTTATTTACTGCTGCGGCCCAGTGTAGAGCTGATTTACCTTAAGAAACAAAAACAGGTTTATTAGATCTTAAGTGTTCTTTTGATGCATTTGAGGGTCATTAACATTTGACTGTTAATGAACCTAAAAATCACTGAATTGCATTGATTTTTAGGTTCATACAATTGGCATAAGAGAGAGAAACCTTACCGAAATCATCGATTGCATTGACGTCAGCGTGGCAGTTTATGAGCTCCTCCACCATGCCCTCCACCGCCAGCCTGGCAGCCAAGATCAGGGGTGTGGTGCCATCATGCATGCGGGCATCCAAGTCTGTGGCGCGGTTCCTTATCAGAATCTACAGAGACATAAGACATGTTTTGAGCTTTTGAGCTGAACATGAATACATTAATCAAAATGTCGTACTTCAAAAGGTAGATTTAAATGTTCGAATAAATTTTATTCGGAGACACCTCTGGTATCTCCGGTCTAAGTATTTGACAGGTATACTTTTTAGGGCTGCAACTAACGATTGACTACGAACTGAATTATTAGTTTTGTCCAGAAAATGTCAGAAAATAGTTAAATCACAATTTCCCAGAACCCAAGGCGATATCTGACCAAAAATTATA